CAGAGGGAGAAGCAGGCTCCCCACTGAGCCGGGAGCCTGATGTGGGACTCAATCCCAGGACCCTGGGATCACGACCTGAGCCACCCAGGCTACACTGGATGCTTCTTTTTAAAAGAGAGAGAGAGAGAGAGAGAGAGAGAGAGAGAGAGAGAGAGAGAGAGAGAGATTTTGTTTTTAAGTAATCTCTATACCCAACATGGGACTCAAACTCAAAACCCAGAGATGAAGTTGCATGCACCACCCCACTGAGCCAGGCAGGTGCCCCTGTGACTGGAGGCTTTAATCTCTAAATGGATCAAAGATTTTTTTCTGTGACAGAAAATGACCTTACCTGAGCCTGAACAGAAGGGGCACATCTCCCTTGCTGAACAGCTCACGTGGACAGCGAGGGGCAACCATCGAGGGGCATTTTGATTACATCCCACATCTGAGGGATTGGCTTCACCCGACTCAACCTTTCTAGAGGGAAGTTGGGTCTTCCATTCCCCACCCTCCACCTCCGACGACAGATCCCTTGTCCCACAGGGAGGTTCCTGACAAAAATTTCATCTCAGCTTTTGTCCAAAAGTGAAGAATGTTTACTGCTTTTTCCCTTCCTATCTGTCTGGAAATGACACCAAGAACAACAAACAAAAAGGGACTCCTTGTCCCCAGCAAAACACCCACACCCTCTGAATTCTTCACCCTGTCTTGGCCTGACTTCACCCCTGGAGGGGGAGGCGAGGCCTGAGGTCCGCAGGCTGCATGTGGTGGAGGCAAGGTTCCTGGGTGGATACAGCTCCGCCTGGAAACCAGAGCTGTTTTTCGAAAGCTTTGTGCAGTCAACCGAGTGGGGGAGGGCCCCCGGCAAAGCCTGATTGAACACCAGGGGGGACATTTCCTCTAAAAAACAAAAACAAAAACAAAAACTCAATTCCCCAGGGTTGTTGGAGCTGTGGTCTGATCAGTGCTTTAAGGGTCTTATTTGTTAGTATTGGGAAAAAAGAGTAAGGTTGCCTCTGAGCCCCCGACTGTCAGTGTCCTTGCAGCAAGGTTGGGTAGCTCAGTCCCTTTTTGGGAGGCCGGCTTGTAAAGAAGGGCAGCCCTTGGACAGAAGGCGCCAGGACCAGGTGGGAGCTGGGTTTCTGCAGAGCCCAGGGTCTTCAGAGCACTGGTCTGCTGAGCAGACACCCACCAGGAAGCTCTTAGAAAGGACCCAGCTGAGCTGAGGTGTGGGCTGGAATGCTAGCAGGGATATGCGCCTGGGAAGCCAAGGCATTCCACAATCAGGGCTTCTAGAAAAGCCAGCACAGAGGATTCAGGGAGTAGAGACCCCTGGTTCTTCACATTTTAGTAAAAAGCATTTATCATGCTAAGGATAACAGTGGTATTTCAGACCTAATCAAGTCTTGTTTTTTCAGTCTGTTGGAGAGAGGGCTCCAACACTCTTTAAAAGATGCTAGGCCTTAAAAAAAATCTCTTTGTCACAGGCCTCCCATTTCTCACTCTCAGGTGCCAAGAAGCACTCATAACCCCCACCAGGCAATGGCTGGCCTCTTGGATCAGTTTCCCAAAGAGCTTAATCATGACCAAGTTGCGGTCACTCTGCCTGGGGCTGGCAAGCCCTGGAGGGTCTCGGGGTGAGGCCTCCCCTGGTGAGAACACAGCTCTTTCAGGGAGCTCAGTTTCCCAAGTGTGTTTGGGCTAGGGAGTAATTCCAGAGTGTCTGAACTCGGCATGGGGCTAGTGGGACTTCTCAACCTCGGCACTGCACTGACGACATTTTCAGCTAGATGATCCTTTGTTGTGGGGGCGACCCTGTGCATTGTAGGGTGTTTAGGATGTGGCCTCCACCCACAAGATGTCAATAGCATCCCCTCCCTCCTCCTTCCCTCTCACTGTGGCAATCAAAACTGCTTCTAGACATTGCCAAATATTCCTGGGGGATGAAGCCATTCCTGGTTGAGAACCACTGGTTAGAAGAAGTGCCCATTCAGCAATTAGACAGCTATGGAGATCCAGGGCAGAGCTAGGCTACACAGATCCCAAGAGAATTTTCCTCACTCTACATCATTGTATCAATACTCTCTTGGTTGCACTAAGTGACCGAAAATTCAACTCCAAGTGACTTACAAGGGGATAGATGTCATCTCTTGTAACTGAGAAGACCAGGGACTTTGGCATAGTGCTGGATCAGGCCTAGTTTGACCCAGGAACTCAAACAATATTACTGGAATTTGGTTTTATCTCTTGACTTTGCTCTTCCTCCTCTTCCCTTAGCATAGGGGCAAGACGGCTGCCAGTGTTCCAGTCCTGTATGTTCCTGGTTTGAGACTTGTGGAGGAAAAAATGCCAAGTATTTTTCTTTAAGATTTCATTTATTTATTTGAGAGAGAGAGAGAGTGAGCAAGGGAGAGAGAAAGAGAGAGCATGAGCAGGGTGAGGGGGAGAGGGAGAAGCAGGCTCCTCACCGAGCAAAGGAGCCTGATGTGGGGCTTGATCCCAGGACCCTGGGATCATGACCTGAGCTGAAGGCAGACGCTTAACTAACTGAGCCACCCAGGTGCCCCATCAAGTGTTTTTTCTTTATGCATTCCTAGCAAAAGTTTCATTGCAGTTTATTGCTCTGATTTGGTCAAGGGTCCATCACCAAGCAACACAACCAAGTTTTCTTCATGTTCTACTATCTCTGAAATTCACTATGTCGTTGGCTGTACAGTGCTCAGTAGGGACCACTTTAAGTCAGGCCCCAGGAAGATATATGCATGGGGCTCCTGTCTGTATAACAAACTAACTTAGAATCAATGCATTACAAAATGCATAAGTCCATATATAGTATAGTGATTTATCAGTGAAGATTTAGAGTAAGGTGTAGAGAAGACCTGCTTAGGTGTTTGTTTATTGTCCGATCGATGCACATGAAGGTTCCCTGTGGCCGGGCGCCATCTCTTCGTGTTGAGACCCAGAAACCATCTTTTCATAATTTCGTCTCAGCCACTATGAGAAAAAAATAGCCACAGCATCACGTTGATTAAACATTGGGCACCTAATCGTATCTTTTAAGAACACTTGTGCCAATGCTCTGCTTCAGCCTTGACCTGCTTTTGTCACTGACTGTTGATTGCTTTATGCTTATTGAGGCTTTCCTCTCCTTTCTGGAAATTGCATATTGGGTAGAAGTCACATTCTGCGTTCATTTGATAGAGATCTCATGTACTTCCAGCCCCAGACACCTCATTGGCCAAAGCTAATGTTGAATCAAGAGGGATTTTTTTTTTAAGATTTTATTTATTTGGGGATCCCTGGGTGGCTCAGAGGTTTAGCGTCTGCCTTTGGCTCAGGGTGCGATCCTGGAGTCCCGGGATTGAATCCCACGTCAGGCTCCCAGCATAGGCCTGCTTCTCCCTCCTCCTGTGTCTCTGCCTCTCTCTCTCTGTCTATCATAAAGAAATAAATCTTTAAAAAAAAGATTTTGTTTATTTATTCATGAGAGACACAGAGTGAGAGAGAAGCAGAGACACAGGCAGAGGGAGAAGCAGGCTCCATGCAGGGAGCCCGATGCGGAATTTGATCCCGGGTCTCCAGGATCATGCCCTGGGCCAAAGGCAGGTGCTAAACCTCTGAGCTACCCAGGGATCCCAAGAGGGATTTTTTTTTAAAGATTTTATTTATTTATTTATTTATTTATTTATTTATTTATTTGAGAGAGAAAGAGATAGCATGAGCGGGGCAGAGGGAGGAGGGGCAGGGGGAGAGGGAGAAGCAGACTCCCTGCTGAGCAGGAAGCCCAGCATGGGTCCTTGGAATCATGACCTGAGCTGAAGGCAGACACCCTAACCAACTGAGCCACGCAGGCACCCCAAAAGAGGGATTTTAAACAAGTAACAGTGGTAACAGAATATTTAGTTTTTTTTTGTTTGTTTGTTTTTGTTTTTTTTATGATAGTTACACAGAGAGAGAGAGAGGCAGAGACATAGGCAGAGGGAGAAGCAGGCTCCATACACTGGGAGCCTGACGTGGGACTCGATCCCGGGTCTCCAGGATCGCGCCCTGGGCCAAAGGCAGGCGCCAAACCGCTGCGCCACCCAGGTATCCCAGAATATTTAGTTTTGCACTTAGAATAAACTTAGACCATAAAAGCCAGTTTCTATACTCAGTTTCTTCCTTCCTTCCTTTCTTTCTTTCTTTTTCTTTTTTTAAGATTTTATTTATTTACTCATGAGAAACGGAGAGACAGAGAGATAGAGACACAGGCAGAGGGAGAAGCAGGCTCCATGTAGGGAGCCCGATGTGGGACTGGATCCCAGGATTCCAGGATCATGCCCCAGGCCGAAGGCGGTGCTAAACCGCTGAGCTCCCCAGGCTGCCCTATAGTCAGTTTCTTTCATCATTTGAAGAAGATGTAAAATTACTTATTGACTTGTTTTCTAGACTTTGGGCAGGACCCATTGCTAAGGACTCCTGTTTTCCAAGGCAACAGCACACAGGTCAAGTGCCCACAGACACCCACCCTTGCCCCAGTCCCAGAGAGCACTCTGCCAGCCATGCCTGTGCACATGTAGACACAGTAGGGGAGCATCCTTGCCAGCCACAGCGCCCCTCCCCTGACCCTGCAGTGCCCTGGGTGCTTCAGGTCGGAGGCCCTTGGTCCACATCATCCAGTGGGGTAGGGCCAATGGATGGCTTGGGCATCAGGGATGTAGAAGATGACAGAAGCCTGGGAGGGGAGGGGTATGATGGAGGAGGGCTACAGTATAGCTAGCCGCCAACAGAACATGGGTAGTAATACCCCTTCCCCCCATAAGGCCAAGAGCCTCAGCTTAGGGGCTGCCAAGAGACCATGAGACAGTGGGACAGCAAGGTAGCTATGAATGGATGAGCAACAGTCCACAAGATGTGCAGGATAAATATACAGAAACAGCAAAAGGGACAAGGTTCTAAGTGGGGAATGGCAGCATGTCAACAGACCCTTTATATCAAAGTCAATTTAAGGCCAATCTTTAAAAAAATAATAAAAGAAAGCCAATCCATCTGCTACTGTAATTCCAATCATCATCCAGTACAGAGAGCTTCAAAGCTCCCCCACTTAGATGGATCCAGCCCAAAATTTGGGAGATGGTTGAGGGATGCTCAGAGTGAGAATAGTCTTTGCTGCTGGGGTTGGGTCTTTGGCAGAGGCCATTCATGCTACAAAACATTGTTAATGCCAAAGTCATGACCATTTAGTGACACCCACTGGACTTTCCAAGGATATGACACAATATAGCATGCCTTTTGTTGTCATAATATATTTTTGTGCCAATGGCGAGTGGGTTGCAGGCAGGAGTAGGAGCTCTGCTTTTCCTGATTTCAGCAGTACTGTTGTTTGTCACTCCCCACATACGAAGGATCCTTCTGGTAAGATCAAAAAAGTGCCAGCATCAGACTTGAAGAAAGTGTCCATGGCTTGGAAAAAATCCCAGACATAATAGTGAAACAGTCTTTTAAGATATGCTGCATCACCAGTGCTCTCGGTAGGAAGAATGATATTGTTGGGGGAAAACACAGCAATGATTTCTGAGATTAGCAGTGGTTCAGAGGAACCAGCTTCCAGTGGAAAAGGGGATTTGACTGAGGCTAGATGTCAGTGAGCACATGCACATTCATCTAGCCACCATCATTCCCATTCTCTCTGGGTCTAGGACTGGCCTCATTAGACTGAATTTTTCACTGTAACTTAAAAAAATACTTTATTTATTTGAGATATATATATGAGGGAGAGGGAGAAGAGACACCCTGCTGAGCAGGGATCCTAATGTGGGGCTTGATCTTAGGACCCTGGGACCATGACCTGGACCGAAGGCAGACACTTAACCAACTGAGCTACCCAGGCATCCCTCCACTATAACTTAAGACAAGGTAGTACATCAGGATGGGCCTGTCAGTCCCAGGCCTCATATTTGTGCTGGAGACACAGGGTGGCATGATGTGTGGGCACAGAACCGCTCCCAGGAAAAACTCCATCAGTTTTGTGCCTGAGCTGCTGTGATTTCTTCCAGCTTTCCCTGTAGAGAATAACAGATACTTTACTTTTTTAAAGATTTTAATTATCGCATTTCTATTTCTGTTTTTTACATTATCTGGATCTACATACGTTTGATCCTTGAATGATGAGGGGATTAGGGGTGCTGACTCCTGGACAAAGATCTGAGTATAACTTTTGACTCCCTCAAAATGTAACTCGGAATAGCATTACTATTCACTGGGAGCTTTACCAATAACATAAGCTGTTGATTCACACATATTTTATATATTGTATGTATTGTATACTGTATTCTTACAATAAAGTAAGCTAGAGAAAAGAAAATATTACTAGGAGAATTGTAAGGAAGAGAAAATACATTTACAGTACTGTATTTATCAAAAGAAATCTCTGCATAAATGGACTCAAGCAGGGGCACCTGGCTGGCTTAGTCCATAGAACATGGGACTTTGGATCTCTGGGTTGTAAGTTTGAGCCCCATGTTGGGTTTAGAAATTACTTTAGAAAATAAAATCTTAAAAAAAAAAAGAAGTAAATATGTAAATGGATTCACACAGTCCAAACCCGTGTTGTTCAAGGGTCCACTACAGTTTTGCATTCATTCTGGGGGCAAATGGAAGTGGAGGGTGATGGTATGGATGTTTCTCAGAGTCTACAGAGAAAATTCTTATACAGCAAGAACCCCATCTGACCAAACGATGTTAACTTTGAACTGCAACCATTGCTAATTTCTCTTAAAATGGCATTCTCACAGATTGCCCATGAGATAGGAGCTTTTCATGCGTTGTATCCCTTAGGGAAGTAAGAGGTGCCTTTAAGAAGTGGGTGAGTAGTCTTGATCTCATTTTCAAGTCATATAAGAAACCAATACTCCTGAGTTTTATGAATTATGGGATGGAGTTCACAGAATACCACCAACAGCCCACAACCCAAGTATTAGTATCTGTTTGCAATCAATTGACACGCTTTTGTTATTTTTTATTGAAGTAGGAAGGTTTCGAGTTTTGTTTTGTTTTGTGGGAATTGCTTTGTTTGGGTGAAGAGCTCCCTGTAGAGAAAGACAAAGGGAAGAACTATCATATCCTCAGCCCCCATCTCGGCCTGAGAGACTCATTTTCAGCCCCAGTGAGGGGTGAAGTTGGGTGAGAGAGGAATAATCATGTAAGACTTCGAGCAACTGAAGGTATAAACAGTTTTGCTCTGGGACATAGGTAACAAAGTACAGCCAACCTGCCCCAGGAAAGAATGTGGTGCCCAGCAGAACAGAGTGACCAATACTTTTTTTAAAAAGATTTATTTATTTATTTTAGAGAGAAAGAGCACATAAGCAGAGGGAGGGGCAGAGGGAGACGGAGAGAATCTCAAGTAGGCTCCAACTCCCACTGAGTGGAGAGTCCTATGAGAGGCTCTATCTCACCACCCTAAGATCATGACCTGAGCCAAAATTAAGAGTTGGCTGCTTAACCAACTGAGCCACCCAGGCACCCCAAGGAGTGACCATTATAAGAATACTGTTCTCATAGAGGACACATATGCTGATGAGGTACCTCTTTTTAAGGGGATGTGAGAGGTAGACCACCAATGGGGAGGTTGTAACTGGAGAGCATTGTGCATCTGCTATGAACCAGATCCCTCAGGGGCATGCTCAAATCACTGAGGAGGAGTTAGCAGGGGAGGGAACCAGAAGAAAGCCCTATAGGCCTTCAAAAAGGCTCAGAACTAATACAATTTAGGTCTGGATGTCAATATGACAGCCCCTAGACTGGTGACATCTGGGAGCAGGATGCTGTGAAACACTGGACTTTATTTGTGTATGAGTCACTTAACTTCAAAAATTCTGTCTTTAGGGCAGCTCTGGTGGCACAGCGGTTTAGTACCACCTGCAGCCTGGGGTGTGATCCTGGAGACCCAGGATCGAGTCCCATGTCAGGCTCCCTGCATGGAGCCTGCTTCTCCCTCTGCCTGTGTCTCTGCCTCTCTCTCTCTCTCTCTCTCTCCTCTCTCTCAAATAAATAAATAAATAAATAAATAAATAAATAAATAAATAAAACATTAAAAAAATCTGTCTTTAGTAAAGATGCCACGAAACATGCTTCTAGTATAGACTCTTCCAAGTGCGGTTATCTGGGGCAGAGTCCCCAGTAGCTGATTGCCTGGTCTCCCTCCACCTTCCAGGCAGAGCCCTAGTAGGGCGACACCACTCAAAAACTCTTTCTAAGGTAGTGGCTGGAGAAGTCCAGCTGCAGGGTTTGGGGTGGGAGGAGTTTTTTCCTATGTTAGGGTACAGCACCAGATATGATGTGCTAGAGGCTTCTGAGTAATTAGGTTATTAGGCAAAGATTTTTGCTATTTCACCTGACATCGGAATGAGAGGGAATACAAGGTAAACTGCAAGGGAAAGGATTTCCTAACATTAAAGGGAACAGACGCTCTACTCTTGGCCCATTCCCAAAGGCAGATAGAGAGACCTCCCTTATCTGCCAGCCTTCCAGGTCTAGTTTACTGGCTCTCTGCACATCTTTTCCTGAACTCCCGCCCGCTACCTGAATTCACTGCTCTTTTGTGTTCCCAGTCCTCATTATATCACCTAACAGAACCCATCTGTGACCAGCTCAGGGGTAGAAACTGTGTTATTCTTTACTGTATCCCTGACCCTTAGGAGACACATAGCTCATAGTCAATGTTGGCTGGCTTGATCTTAAGTGAAAAGCTGCCTTGGGATGAGAATATGTTAGTCCTCAGTAGTGTGATGGGCACTTCTGGAGCTTCATCTGTGGAAAGGGCAGGAGGTTCTAGGGAGAAGGCGTGAGGATGGAATAAAGAAGCATGAGGCAAACATCAATGCTGTGTCTGCTTTGTCCAGTCCTCCTCTCCCTTCTGGCCTTTTTCATCTGCCCAACATGGGGTCTGGAAGCAAAGGTCAGGAGCTCCATGTGAACCCAAGAAGTCTGAACGATTTCTTGAGAACGGCAAAGGATCCAAGGCAATGAGATGGTGGAGACAATGAGCAAGATGCAGGTCCTGCACTGGGATCAGGGAGGGTGAGCAGAGCAACTGAAAGTGCGCTAATAGAATGTGCTGGAGCTGAACTCTGGTGCCACGCTACAATTGTCCTCAAAAGCTTCCTCTTTCTTTGTGGATTCCAGATATAGTCCACTCAGGAGGGTAGGTAATGAGCATGCACAGGATTCTGAGCCAAGGCTGTCAGGAGCAGGTACTTCACACCATGCCCTTGGACCCCTCCTGAGGAAAATGGGAAACCAGTTCACCAAACGAATCACCTCCAGAGACAGGGGATAGTCAAACTCCAGGTTCTGTCTAGCAACCGTCTCCCCATGGGGAAAGAACTTCGCTCAGGTGATTGGAAGATTCCCTAGCTCAAGATCTGGAACATTCTGAAGTCCCTCCTTAAGGGGAAGGAGGTGATGGCACTGCTGCAAAGTAGACAAAGAAAGGCCAGGGGCTTCGTTTCAACTGGAATGTGCAGAATAGAGGTGAGGAGGCTGTAAACACCTTGGCAGCAATTATGCAGGAAGCCTGCAGTATAGACGCAGGGCAGCATCACCCCACCCGATAACGCTGGCAGTGTCAGACTCCAACATGAGCTGTGTAAGAGCTGCTAATTGCTGAGATTCCAATAAGAGGATGTCTTAAAAGTGATTTTGAACTGACTGCAGCTTTTTGAACTGATTGTGGCTATAAGCTATAAAGGAAGGGATCTAAGTAAAAGTGAAAAATCCTTTGATCAAACACAAAGGAACTCTTCCAAATAAAAATACCTTCATTTTCCACACACATCACAGCTGTCTGTTTCACACGTGTAAACAAATGATTTATACACATCTACGACACACAGAAGCTCCCTGAGACAGGGAACTTGTTCTTCCTTATAACTCTTTACAGTATCTAGTATGGTATCTAACACCCAGAAGATGCTTCCTGAATTGAATTTAATTGAAGCAATTGCTGTATTCATGATTTGATCAGATAACTGTCATTTTTTTTACGATAATGGGCTACTACTATAAAATGAATACCAGGGTAAAGCAATACAAAAAGGCCATTCTAATAGCCTTACATCTAGGAAAACATACGGGTTTTTCTTGAGGCCCAAAAGAAATATGCAAATAGAGTCATTCTTGAAAGCCAACCACTCTACATTCCACAACAGAGACCGTGTAGATGGTGCCGAGTTGCTAGGCAACCACTTGGTAATTCCCTGTGTAATAGAGATGAACCTGTCATCTGCTTTCTTGGCTATATGTGACATGAGAAGACAACAGGTAAAGGACAGCCAAGAACACCTGCATCTGGATGACACAGTCACTCCTGAAGTGTGATGACACAAGAAAATCCCCATGCCCTGTCAGAAAATGCTGGAGGGAGAATTTTGTGAAACTATTAGCACAAGTCATTCTGGTGAATTTTCTTGGATTTACCCTGTGGGTAAATCCTGTGGGTTATCCTGTTATCCCTGTCCAGAAAGCAGGAGACCAAAAGCACTGTAGTTCTGCATACAGACGGCTGTCAATCCCAGAAGGGCTCCAGAACAGCGCGTCCCGTGACTCCAGCTGGGATGAGATTTTATCAGATAAAAGCATCCTTTTTACATCTTAAAAGGGACACTCAACATCTCAAAGAAACCAAAGTTCTGAGTGAATAAACTGCACCTTTTTTATACCTGAAGAAAATGCTCTTACTAATTTCTTTGTCTGGACGGGACTTCCCAGACCTTTTAGGCAAATGAGTTGCCTCTTAAAGACTTCACTCCACTGTAGGTATTGACAGCATTGTCTTTGAAATACGCTGAAAACCCGACAAAGCGCTGGAGGATGAATAAGGAACGTCTCAAAGCTTCTCTAACATTAAGAAAAATGGAAATCAAATTTAAATGCCACTTCAGATTTAGAAGGCTAAGAGTACTCATCTTCCTCATGTGGAGTTTTAAAAGGACCATCTCCCGGATTAGAAAAAAAAAAAAAGAATACTTGCCCACTCCCTATTCCCACAAATATATTTGAA